GAAGCTAACCTTTTGGAAAAAAAAAAAAAAAAAAAAAAAAAAAGTTAGAGAGGGAAGGAACGGTAAGGGAATGTTTAGTGATATTATTCCACTGTCCTTGCAAGCTCTGAATGCTATGCAGAGTGGGCAGAACTAAAAATAAATTTAAAAAATTAACAAAAACAATCTTGTGAAGCTCTGTCTAGTGAACTACTAATACCGAGGCGATTGCTCTGTGTGTAATACAGTAACTCTCCAAGATATCGTAGGAAGGCAACAGAAAGGGTGAAAAATCGCTTACAGAAAGAAATCACCAGTATTAGTATTTTACTATAAAATACACGTTTCAGGAGCATTAGACTGAGTGCAAGTTTTTGCTTTCCTTAATGTGATCTTCGAATTTATTAAAAGATTTGAAGCAAAGTTCAAGTCAAATCCATCCTTCTATAATGCAAACAAAGACGCATGTCTCGTGGTTACTGTTTGGTTAATTAGGTGATCTTAAAGGGGACTTATGCTAGAGTAATCCGAGATTTATTCTTATAAGATTGTAGTTCTTTCCGTGCTCAGCACGGGTACGAAGCTGAATAGAATACTGTGACATTTTGTGGGTAATGTCTTAGCAAAGGTGATCTGAATATTTAATCTGTAAGTGGCTGGACTGCTACCGAACAACAACAACAACAGAAAAGGCCTTTGTTATTCTTTTTTTTTTTTTTCCATCAGTGAAAGAGGGAGGTCTGACTTTCCATCCCTTTAGAAATTATCCAGTATAAAATCTAGACTATGAATATTAACAGTAAAAGATTACACCCCAGGCACAGGGAAAGCACATGTTCACAAAAAAATGCCTGAATGCAACGTGGTTCTCATTCAGAAGGGACTTCCACCCCATCACTCCGCTGCTCACAGGATTTACCACCAGCTCCTCTCTGCCTTCGTCTGTCAAACGTGGTCTGTAACTATTATCCGGAAATATCACTCGTATGTGGAATACAACAGTAACAAACGTTTTTATTGCAACAGGTTCGGCAGCATGGAAGGACATCCACGGTAAGTGACCTCTTACTTCTTGTAGAGTTTGTGTTGCTTGAAAATCCTGTTCTTCCTTTCAGACTGGAAGAATTATAAATTATGTGTTCTTGCTGAATATTGCTACCCCAAAAAAAGAGGGGAAAAGACTACGTCAGCATGTGAAAGCTCTTGCAGAGTCGGTTTGTGGTACCATGTCATAATCCTGGCTAGCGTTAAAAGCAGTGGTGCAGCCTCCGGAGGGTTTATTACAGGGCTGTACAGGTGTCCTGCTCTTAAGCATGCTGGAGCAATTAGCAGTGTTTCCATGTTAACTCGGCGAGGCTGTGCAGCGCCTCCCCGCGCAGACCCCGGGCGGATCACGTTGTGTACCAGCGCCCCACCACCTTGGCTACTCCCCCTCTTTTCTCCAGACGAGCTTCAAAGCAGGGCTGTGCCTGCTCTCTGAGGTTAACCTCGCTGGGCACAGCCTGGTGGAGGAGTGGAAGGGGCGGCAGGCGCTGGGTGCTGTCAGCCCATGCCGGGCCAGCCTACGCCGCAGCCGGGTCCTGAGGGGTGGTAGCTCTGATCCTCTGCTACTAGGTCTCTCCGGGCAAGGGAGATTCAAACGTGGATTTAAATGCTGTGAAGGCGAGGAGGGGAACCGGTGTCTGAGCTTGGGAGGGCAAGCTTTTACTGTAGGGATTTTTGCACCCCCGATGGTCTCGCCTGAGCTGCGCTGGGGGGGCGGAGGGGAGGGCAGCAGTTCAGGGTGTAGCAGGAAATGCTGTTGAACCTTTCTGGCTGCAGTAAGCAGATATGTGCATTAGTCCTGGTGCTTCAGACTGAGACGAGCTTGTCTCTCAAAGAGAAAAAGAAAGCCTGCGATATTTGGAGATTCGTTAGGTCTACATTGCCCTTCTGCCAGTCCCGCTGGAGCATGCACAGGAGCGGAGCTGTGTTTGTTTGCATTTATCCCTGTTCTCTCCCTGGTTGCTAACAAATAATCTATTTCCC